CAGAGAAAGTGAGCACGACTTAGCATAGAAGAGTAGAATTTAAATATGTTGAGACAAATGACAGGGCTGTGTGTGTCCATATGTGTTGATTATTAGCAAAGGTAAAGGGATTGAACATCTCACTGAGACTAGCATTATGAGAAAAGGGTTCCCTGGGCAGTGTTGCACAGTAGTGTACAGCTGGACTGACGCTAGTGAACAGAAGGCTTTGAGTACCAAAACATTTGACCTGTTACTTTGAGACAAAAGGGATCTATTGTTTTTAGAATTAAAGAGCCACTATCAAAGAACATTTCATTTTCTGTGGGATCAGGGATCAGGGTGTCTTACTTGTTTAGTCCTCACTATATGTGGAGAACTGCCCTAGGCTCCACCATGCATACAAAGAGGCTTGAGGCTGGTCTCTTCTCCCCAGCCTCCCAGTGCCATTGGCAAGTCTGAGTCATCTTACTCCCAAAGAGATGAGTATCAATACCTCAGAGAGGCAACATCTGCCAGTGACTAATGGCAGTGAGTTCAATAAGATAGTAGATGTGGGACCAGCAGTTAGCCTAATGGCTATGTCACTGGACTCCCATGTAGTTGACCGCGGTTTGAGTCCCAGACCCGGTGGCTTAAAACTCAAAACGGGTATGTGTGCGTGCATGCCCAAGATCCCTAGAGAATGGAGGAGAAGGGGTTGCAGCGTGGCCACACCCCTTCCCGGTGGGGGGGGGGCGGGGGGGGATGATGTCTCGCTTTTTGTCTCTCTGTCTCTGTCTTTCTGGCGAGCGCATATGCCCTATAACAAAAAACTTTTTAAAAAAAGCGCAGATGCAGGGATAGCAAGCTGAGGTGAGTGGTAACAGCTTGGATAAAGAATGTGGAGCTTGTCATGAAGGCAGACAGTCACGAGTGACCGTGCAGTATGGGTTCACTGGGACTGGAATGAACTGACAGAGATGTGCAGTCATCGGTGCAGATTCAGCTGATTACTGTGGTGGCAGTAGCAATGTAAGGAAGTATTTGAGACCTGACAGGACTTGGCGATTGTGGATAATAGGTACAGAAGGACAACTAATAGATGGTGACTGATAAGCTGAGCCAGTGTAAAGTTGCTTATGGGTTGTAGTCAAACTGTTTTTGTTTTTAGGGCAATTTTTGCTATAGGGCTCATGCGTTCACTGGAGAGACAGAAAATGAGAAATCACTCCCGAGAGAGATGGCCATGCTGCAGTCCCTTCTCCTCCATTCTCCTCTTGGGATTTTGAGCACACATGCACACATGCCTGGCATGAGTTTCAAGCCACCGGGTCTGGAACTTGAACAGTAGTTAGCTATGTAGGAGTCCAGCGATGTAATCATTAAGCCATCAGCTGGTCCCAGACATTTTTATTGTCTTTCTGGACGGCTAAGTGGAATTGTCTGACAAGACAACCAGAGAGCAGTGCAGGAGCTTGGGGTTGGGGGTTGGAGTGACAGAGATAAATGTTGGGAGTCTTAACACCTAAAAGGTGGTTATGCCACCAGGGAGTGAAGTAAAGGAACAAAAGGAGGGAAAGTCATGAAGGAAATATAGTGGGGACATTCAGAGATTGAAGAGAGGCTGGCGGAGGTGATCATTTGGTGTTCTTAACCCAGGTGGAGGAGAAGGTCAGCACCGAGGATGTCTGGCTACAGATAATGGCAGGGAGGTAGAAAACTAATTTTGAATCAGTCCTGTCCAGGTGGTCCTCTAGTGGGCCTGGAGTCCACGTTACAGGGTGTCAGGAGTTCATGTGTGTGTAGAGGAGTGGGGAAACAGGGTAACACTACTTTTTAAAGCAGTTTGGCTTTGTGTAAAAAGGGGTATGCACACACATACACACACAGGGCAGTAGTTAAGGAGGGCAAAAGAAGGTTATTTTTAATAAAATTTAAAAAACATCTCCCAGAATGCCATCTTTGTTTTAGGGTGCTGTATGCAAAGCAGTGGAGGACACAAGAAGTGATTGAAACAGTGAGATTTTTGTCTGTTCATCCTCACCAAAAGTGCTGCCTCGAGTTCTTTTTACTTTAAATCAGTAATTTATCTAAAACAGTTGGAGTATATATAATATTAAGCTTATAAGCAAGACAATGGTAGCAGAGAACAACTGAATATGAGAGAGTTGGAGAATTGGAGGAGGCAAGGAAACAAGAGAAAAGACAGCGTGATTTGTGCAGGTGGGGAGGAGTCAGCCTTAGGAGAGGACCCTTGTTCTTCTAGGGTGGTATAAAGGGTGGTATAAAGGAGGGGGAGAGGATGAGGGCATATTAGAGCAGTTTGAGGCAGACTAGAATCAAATGAGGATCCCTGGAAGTCTCTACTATGAATATTATAGTCAACAGACAGACTTAAGGGTGCTATTTATTTTCTATCTTTGAAAAGTTTAGTCAAAGGGAAAAATGAGACAGTGACTCTTTTTATCCTGTGAGAGAAGAGAATCAAGGTGAAACAGTTGCATTATTGAAGGGATCAGGTTTTAGCTGAGGTTTTTTCTTTTTAATGTTTATTAAGACTATGACATGTTTATTAATCAAATAATTGTGTGAGCATTTCCACCCCTGCATGTAAGCTAGGGTTTGTGTCCCATGTAGATTCACAAAGCTTAAGAGTCTAAGAAAGGAGCTAAGAGAGACATGTATGTAGGCTCTTAGTAAATGCTTGCCAGTTGAACTCTGATCTGAGCTAGAAAGTGACTTCGTGCCCAAACCACTTAAGCTAAGTATTAGGGGACTTTAGAGGAGAAAAAGAATTGGAGCAATTTTCGAGCTCTTTCAGTTGTTAGGTGTGGGGAAGGAGCTAAAGAACTTCTCCATAAGGAGTGAGCCACCACACCCAGAGTAGGCTAAAGAACCTTTCAGATGCAGAGCAGGGATTGGATTTTACTATTTGGGGTCAAGATGTTTCTTGAAGTCCATCAGATGTGTCTGTTGGAACGCCCCTAGTAATTTCCACCCTTGCTCTGTCTGCAGCCAAGGTCAGGGAAAGACAAGTTACAAGGTTCTGCCAAACCCCAAAAGAGCATGTGGTGTTTGCTCAGCACATGTCCCCACATTTCAGTTGAACAAGGTTTTGAAATAAATTTGCTATATGTTGACCTAATCTCCCTGTTTTACTTGTTTTCTTCATAGACTTTATATTCTGCACATTTAGAAAATAGAGTTGGGTAGTTCATACTTTGTGGTCACAAGTAGTAATATGTGAAGAATCAGGAGCCTGGCTTTGGCCACACAAATGAAAAGCTACCTTATTTCAAGAGTGTCCAGTTAGGAAGAGCACTGGCAGGACTTAGAAGGCAGGGCTTTGGTTGGCAGAATATCTCAGAAACTGTTCTCATTTTCCATTTTATTTTCTGTAAACTTACCTTCAGAATGGTCATATTTTTACCTCATTGACTATATTTTAAGGTGTAGCCAGAAGATAAGTGTAGATCAATAGAACAGAGTTAACTAATACTATAGTTTGACTGTTACATGCAAAAAAAAACATGCAGAAAAGGAGAAGAGGAAGGGAATAAAAGTAATTTGAAGTACTGAAAAAATTTCATTTATTTATAAAACTAGTTTGTGAAATTCTGCTTGGAAAGACAATTATAGAAGGGACTGTTTAACTATCAAAGGTGTTTTCTTTCCTCCCTTTTTTTTATTTAAACACTTTTTTTTTTTTTTTTAAGGTTTTTGCTATAGGGCACTTGTACTCACTGGAGAGAGACAGAGAGAAGGAAAATGAGAACTCCCCACCACCACCACTACCTCTGTAGGTTG